TTTCTTGGGGAGCCCCTGCCTCTCTTTCCTGGCTTGGAAAATTGCAGCCCTCGGTAACAGGAGAGCTGAGCGGGAGCCCTGGGGAGGGCTGGGCTGTGTATGTGGGGACAGTGGCACTAAAAAAGCTGATTTTTTTTAATTTTTTTTTTTTTTCCCCCATCCAAGATGTCCCAGCGACAAATTAATTCTCATTTGAGAAGCGCTGGGTGCTGAATTCATATTCTGCAGCGGGTGAGATGCTGAAAGTGCTTGTACGAGCGCTGGCAGATGCTCGGGGCGGCGACGGCCGCTTTGGTGAGGTTCCCGGCCGTGGGGTAAACCAGAGCCACCAGATTCTTGCTGGTGACAGAACCTGGTGCGAAGCAGCTCAATTAACAGCAGAGTAGCGCTAATTGATAATCTGGTTTACGATCCCGAGTGTCTTGCTTCTCTGGCTCCTCTTCCCACGCAACGTTGCGGGGTCCTGTTCTCCTCTGGCTGTTGGCGGCCGGTGGGAAGCCCAGACCAGCGGATGGAGGCAGCTGGGAGAGCCGAGGAGGAGCTCTGCTTCGGTTGGTTGTCCAGCTTGTGGTGGTGGGAGCAGCTCTTCCGCCAACCGCCGGGGCCAGGACGGTCTCCGCGGGTCAGCGATCCTCTCAAAATAAAGAAATAACCCCTGGAGACCTGGCCTCGGGGGGAGCTTGCGCTTCTCTCGTTGACGTTACCCAGTTTCTTGCTGGGGAGTTGATTCATCTGGAATGAATTTCGAGGAAACCAGCGGACGCTCGGCGTCACGGCCTCCAAATCCGTGCTGGGTGCCTTGCACAGAGGCAGGGCTGTAGGTGCTGCAGCTCGGGACGGGCAGCTGAACGACGGTAGATACACTGGCCTCGGGGGGAGCTTGCGCTTCTCTCGTTGACGTTACCCAGTTTCTTGCTGGGGAGTTGATTCATCTGGAATGAATTTCGAGGAAACCAGCGGACGCTCGGCGTCACGGCCTCCAAATCCGTGCTGGGTGCCTTGCACAGAGGCAGGGCTGTAGGTGCTGCAGCTCGGGACGGGCAGCTGAACGACGGTAGATACAGACCTGGGTCGTAGGCAGCGATCGGCCGAGCTAATCCAGCAGTTCCCCGGCCTTAAAACCTCCAAAGTGGGCAATGGCCACGGCCGGCCCGGGTTTTGG